CCGGGAGATGGCCCAGGCAGCTGGTTATCGGGAGCCACAGGGAGCAGGGTGAGGCCGCGCAGGCAGGGCGGGGCCCAGGGCAGAAGGGCAAAGGCCCCATGTGGGTCTGCAGGGATCGTGAAGATAGACAGCAAGACAGCGGTGACATTCAGAGAGACGGGCACACACAGAGACAGAAAGACCCACATAAACCCAGCAAGGACCTTGCAAGAGACACAGACTTAGAGACACCGAGAGAGACAGACTCAGAGTTAAACAAACCTGTTCACTCACAAATATGGGGGGAGTGCACCCTGTAAACCTAGCCCAGTTTAGGGGCAGAGCAGAGCTAAGGGGAGGCAAGGCCCTTCAGGGACTGGGGACGACAGAGGTTGGGGAAGAGTGCCAGTCAAGAAGGAAAATAAATTAACAAGCGGACTTCAGGGAGATGGGAGAGAGCCACTGGGATCCTCTTGAGGTTGGGGTGTCTGAGCAGAGGCTCAGAGGGGAGGGACAGGCTGTGCGCAGGTCTGGAGAAGGAGGGCTCCAGGAAGAAGGAACGGCAAGCGCAAAGGTCTGAGGTTGGGGGGAGGCTTGGGGTCAGAGTGAGGGGTAGAGGGTGGGAGGTGGTCGGAGAGGAAGAGGGTCAGCTTGCCATTAGATACCCACCCACAGCCGGGAGGCCCTGAGAATCAGCCATGCTCCCCAACTCTCAAACCCTGAGCTCTGGACTCTAGCTTTGCAGGGCTCCTGACTCCCACAAGGGGCATCAAGGAAGACTTCCAGAGGGTGACCACCAGGCTGAACCGCACAGGCCAGGGCAGACTCAGGGGAGAAGCAGAGATGTGAAGAGACATAACACAAGAGCAACAAGTTGCTTGCGCCGGGCCCAGCCGCCCAGAACTGACACATGGCTGGGCCGGGGAGGGAGAAGGCTGTCTCAGGTTAGAGGGTCCAGCTATGACCCAGGAGGGTGGGGGTGGTTGAGGAGACCATGAGGCCGAGGACAGGACAAGAGGCCTTCTTGCCTGTGCCCAGCCCCAAGCCAGGACGCTTAGGTCTGCCTACCTCACCGTCCCTCTGTGGGCTGAGGCTGGACAAATGGCTTCCTGGTTAGCCCCTGAGGATGCTGAGGCCCAGAGAGGTTGGGAGCCAGGCAAGGTCACAAAGCAGAGCCCAGAGCCCTCCGGCCTGCAGCCAAGCTCCCCTTCCCACCCCCAGACTGCAGGCGATGGCTGAGCAAGGTAGCCATGGGGACTTCCCAGAAAGGGGAAGCAGACAGGGGGTGCCTAGAGAGGGCGGGGTCTGGCCAGGCGGCCTGACTCAGGCTGGGCACACCCTCCTGGGGAGTCAAGACCTGGGCAGGGGCAGCTTCCTAGCCTGGGCTCCCGTGACTCAGATGCATTGCCACTGCCCGCACCCCAGGCCTGGGCTCTGGGACCATGCCCAGCGTCCCCACCTTGGCCTCCCCCAGGATCCTGGGGCAGAAGACAGAAGGCAGAAGTCAGAGGCCGGGGTTCAAATCCTAGCCCTGTGCTGTGTTACCTTAGCCAGGCCCTGGTCTTTTCTGGGCCTTGCCAAGGCAGTGAGCCGACCCTCTGGCTGGCCCAGTCAAAACCAGGGATATGGCTGCTGCCCCAGGGACCCTAGCCTCCTGCTCATTCCCCTCCCTTTGGACCCCATAATCCCTTCCTGCCTGAGCAGCTCTTCCTCTTGGGAGCCTAAATTTAGCCGGGCCTGGCCCTGGCGGGTGAGGCCCCCACAGCTGTGTCCTAATCCAGCCAAGGGAAGCCGACACCAGCGAACACCAGTGAACACCAGTGAACACGTATATTTAGGGTGTGACGCAGGGGTCCCGGCAGCTGCGGGTAGGAGCACATGAACAAGATGCCCCCTGGGGCCCTTAGGCGGTCCAGCTAGGTCCTGTATACTCTCACCTATCCTCCCCAACCGGCAGCCGCACCCTCCAAGCCCTCTCCTCCCAGACTCAGAACCCTTTCGGCCCTCAGGCTCCTTTAAGCTGATGGGGCCTCCCTCCTCATCCCTCCCAGTGCTCAGTTTCCCCTTTTAAGGACATTGTGGAGACACAGCCAGCCTCCCAGCACCCACTCTGGCTGAAGTGTGCATGTGGGTTCCTCTGGCTCAACAAGCGGGCAGAGGAGGAGGGGGCAACACCCTTGCTCTGCGCTGCGGTCCATGGAGGTTTCTGCCACGACCAGGCCACCCGCAGACCTCAGAATTTGCTCCCTTTTCTGATGTTACCCCAACCGTCCCTCTGGTCACAAAAACATGAGACCTCCCTTCCCCCAGCGCTGAGCGCCACTAGGGAAGGTGTGAGCACAGACAGATTCTCAGGCCTGCCAGCTCTGACCTCCACTCCCCAAAAGCGACCCACACCCTCAACTCCAGGGGTCCCACAAGCTGCAGAGGCATTTTTGAGTCTCTGTGTCGGGCACACCAGGGCCCAAGGTGGGGGCAAGGGGCCACCGGGCTGGGGGCAGGGTTCTCTCGGGCTCCAGCGGCGCCGTGGGGTCCCAGCCGGTCTGCGGAGGCCCCCAGGCCTCCCTGCCACTCACCATTTCTTGGTGCACTCCACCACCAGCTCGTGGTAACAGGCCACAAACTGGAACTTGGCGGCCCGCTTGCCCACGCGCTGCAGGCGCTTCCACACCGAGGTCATGGCCCCCGCCGCCCCCGGCGCCCGCTCCTCAGACTCGGGGCTCCCGCTGGCCCACGGCCGCTGGCCAGGCCTGGGTCCCCATGGCCCCCCGGGCTGCTATCCGCGCCGCCCGCCCCGTCCGTCGATGTCCGAGGCTCGGACCCGAAGCCGATCACCCCGCTGCCGCCGCTGGGGCCCGCCGGGTGGTCGAGCTGAGCCGGCCGGGTTGTCAGGGCGCGTCGGGTCGCGGGAGCGCTGAGCGGCGAGCGCGCCGTTTCCTGGAGCCGCACCCCCGTCGGAAGGCGGGCGGGGCTCCGGCGTGGGGCGGGGGCCGGGGCCGGGGCCGGGGCGGGAGCGGGGGGCGGGGCGGCCCGGCTTCCGGGGCCTCGCGCGGCTGCCGCTGTTGGGGCGGGAGCTGGGGGGTGCCTGGGGGGCGTACCAAGGGGGCCGCCCGGACAGCACAGCCCGCTGATAGCGCGCGGAGGCGGTGTGGACGCGTGGGCCGGGGAGAGAGCTACCAGCAACTTGGTGCCGCCCTCAGGAGCACTGCCCGGGCCGCCACCCTTCCTGCCCACAGCCCTGGGAGGTACGTACTGATTGATGATGGCCCCATTTCACAGGTGGGGGAAACAGAGCCCCAGAAAGAACAGACATGCTCAGGGCCACGCTGCGAATCTGGGCCAGAGCCAACTGTCAACACTGCGGTGGCAGACTCCTGCTGTCACCCAGGTCTTAGAGCAGAATCAGGGGTCAACTGGAGTGTCCCTACCTTTGGGTAGCACGCATTTGCCAGTCACGGAACCTGATTCCTTGGCTGTCAAGTGGGAAGACAGTCCCAACACCCCACAAGCAGCTGATTTCCAACAAGCGTGTGACCTTGGGCAAAGTACTAACATTCTGAGCCTCAGTTTCTACCTCTGTTAAATAGGGATAATTATAGTTCTGACTCTTACACAGTCATTGAGAGTAGGAAATCTTGGGAAGCATTCCCTACGTAGACTGGCTGATTTTCTGAGGTCTCATTAAACGGAATCCGTTATTGCAGCTGGAGGGAGGGAGGGAGAGAGAGAGAGAGAGAGAGAGAGAGTGTGTGTGTGTGTGTGTGTGTGTCTAAGCAGGAGCTTGGGCTACACACACACACATATACTCTCCCTCTCCTAAGAAGCCTGCCCCAGGCATTAGCTGCCTTGTTCACACCTAGATCAGAGCCCTTATCACCTACCTTCGGGCCCAGCATGCTAATGAGCACCTCCAGGTGTCAGGGCCGGAGTTAGGGAACTGCCCTGGGGCAGCTCCTCAGTTTTCCCTCCCTGCCGGCACTAGGCAAGGTTTGTGAACGGACTGCAACCTGGTGCTTAATAAATACTTGGTTTGAACAGGCTCTCTGATCTGCCAAGAGTGCCGGCTGTTGTCTCCAGAGGCAAGGGACCGTGCGCAGGGTGTGGGGGTGAGCAGCCTGGAAGCCTAAGTGTGTAACCACGAGGTCCTCTCCTCTTCGTCTCAGGGAGCTGTAGGGGTTTTATGTGTGTGCCTGGAGGTCTGAACACCCATCATCCCCAAATGTGCAGGCTTCTTCCGGCGAGCCTGACACGGGTTTGTCTCCCAGGCCCAGCAGTGTGGTCCCCTCTAAGAGGAAGTCCCTCATACACAGGCCTAAAGTCTCCAAATGCTGTTGGGCAGCCAGGCGGCCCATACAAGAGTAAGTGCAGAATGGGAGCGTCTGGAACATAAACGCTCCTCACTAGAGCTGGATCTCCTGCCCGGGAGCGCAGGGCCCTGGTCCTTTCTCCCCACCCCGTCGCCCAGGGCTTATGTGGCCTCTGGGGAAGTGTGGGCCATCGCCACCTCATCCCCTTCTGCCCCTGCAGCTGTTTCCTCCCACCCGAAGAGCACTCACTAGCTCCCGGGCGCATCCTGGAGGCGCCTTCCCCTCTCCCTCCCAGGGGCCCCTAGGTCCGCTGGCTCCGGCCCACCCATTTCCTGTGCCGCCCCAGCTCCGCCCCCACTTGGGGTGGAAAGTTTCTCTCAAGATAGGCGGCTCCTTCTCCTTCCTTCCCGGCGGGCCAGGAAGGACCAAGGCGAGTTGGCGGGGCGGGGAGGGTTGGGCTCCCAGATCTCCGGCCAGAGGGAAAGTTACTCGCCCGCCGTCGCAGACCGCGGTGCTAGCTCCGCCAGCTCCGCATGTTCCCCAGCCCGGTAGGTGGAGGGAGGATTCGCACTCCTTGGTAGGCAAGCCTTTCTTCCACTCGTCGAGGGGCGGGGGGCGGGGGTCTTCGGCGCCACCTGCCGGCGGAGCGCGGGACCGCACTTTCCAGAAACACCGCTATCTCCCCGCCCCAGAGCCAGGCATTCAGAACACAAGAACGCTGAGAGAGTATTTATTTACCTACGTGCCCAAGAGTCTGGCCCCTAAACTTAAACATCCAGCACGGAGCCTTGGCCCTCCCGGCCGTGGGTGGGTGCAAGAATGGGGATGCCCTGGTCTAGAGCAGTGGAACGCAGGGACCAGAGGTGGGATGCCCCTGAGCCAGCAGCTGCCAATAGCAGCAAAAGGTGAAAAGGAGATGGGAACCAGGCACTCATCCCATCCCAGAGATGTCAAGCGGAGTGCCAGATGCTTTGGGCCCCACCACCAGACAGCAGGTTGGCCAAGCTGGGGTGCACACATGTGGGAGGAGTGGAAGTTCGGTGCCATGGGCCAAGGCTGTAGCCCAGGTGCCTGCCCCAGCGCTAGCTAACCAGAGTCAGGAGAGAGGGGGTCGGCAATTTTACGTCTGAGGGGCCCAAAGGCTTGCCTTCTCGTGAAGTGAGGTGATACAGGGAAAGCAGGCACTAGAAGTCTGAGTCCTGACTAAGGGCTGAGTTTTTGAGCCTTTTGCATGGGTGCGTGTTCCCCCCACCCCCAGCTCTTCAGAGGCTGATTTGAAAGGCATCCTGCAGCCACTGGTCCCGGGCATTGTGTGTCTGGGGCACAGTGAGGGGTGGCGGGTCCGGGGGCAGGCTGGCATCGGGAGGCTCATCGTCATCAGACAGGCCAGCATCAGGTGGATAAGAGCTGTCTGAGTGCAGGGAGGATGACAGGTCCTGGCACAGGCTCAAGTCTTGGCACAGGTGCTTATAGTCTTGGATTGACTCGTACAGGCCCCACAGCTGGCACAGTAGGGACATGTCCAGCTGCCGCAGCCCCACCTGCAAAAGACTGAGGGTGGGCTGGGGTTGGGGTCCAGGCCACCCTCAGCCCTAGCCAATCTTCCTGCACCTCTCTAAGCACAAACTTTTGGGGACAGCGGACGCCATCTGCAAGCTGTGAATCTTTAGACAAGTCACTGACCCTTATCTGTAAAATAGGGATAACATTTACCTAGCAAGATAGAATAAAGTAACATGAGTAAAGCACTTAAAAATACATGATAACTGCTGGCATAAACGGCAACTATAATCATTGTTACTGTAACCCCTCTGACCCAACCCGCTTCTGCAGTTCTTCTGACGCTCAAGCCATGAGATCCCGGTTACGGGCCTCTGACTGCGCTCCGCCCCGGGACCTTCATGCTCAGCTGCAGCCCCCTGCCCAGCTGGCCCGGGGCCCAGCCGCTCACCATCTCCTTGCGCAGCGCTGCTAGTGCTGAGTCGAGATTGACAGGGCGACGTGGGCCGGGGGGACCGGCGGCGGGTCCCGCGTTGGTGGCGCCCGCAGCGTAGCGGGGCCCATCTGGGATACGGGCCGCGCGGCTCAGCTCGTCGTGGATGCGGCTGCGCTGGCTGTAGACGCGCTCCAGCTCCCGCCACGAACCCCCGCTTGCGTTGAGAAGACCGCTGAGGCCGCGCGGTAGCGGAGGGAGCCCGGCTAGGGCGCAGCCAGCACCACCCGGCGCCTCGGCCGAGGGCAGCCCATTCATGGCCCGACCGGCGCGGACGGCGATGCTGCTTCTTTCCCTTCAACCCTCCGCCCGGGCCGCAGCTCGCAGGCCCCGCACCGCGCGGCCCCGCCGGCCGAGCCCAGCCGCCGCCCGCAGGCCGCGCTTTGTTCCTTCCCCGACTCCTCCGACTCCGCCCCTGCCCCACCCCCCTCGTATGGGCGGGGCCTCTCTTAAAAGGGCTACGGTGGTGGGACCACATCGCGAAAAGCTGAGAAAGGGAATGGGGTATCCACCAGAACGGAGCGAGAAAAAGAGGCGCGGAAAGAGACCGAAAGCGGCGAATGGGGTTCCTTCGCGGTTCTTCTTTGCTCCCCCCACAAAAATGTGTTTAATTATTCTGCTCAATTTTAACTCCCCAAGGAAAGGATCTAAACCTGGGGGTAGGGAGTCAGGAAACTTGAATTAAGTCCACACTGGGTCCCTATCGTGAAACCGGACGCCCTGTCAGTGTCTCATGTCTGCAGTCAAATGCTCTACCACTGAGCTATACCCCCAGTGTCTCATGTCTGAATACCTTGACTGGGCATGAGGTGGGTCAGGATGATGGTATCAGAATGCTCAGGGGACAGAGAAGATACCAAAAGGGGCTGGAACCCAAAATCTCACTCAAGACTGGGAATTGAGCACTGGATGGCTGAGGAGGCTGCAGGGATGCCGCAGAGGTCCATCCCTCTTGTTCCTGCTGTTGAGGAGGCTATGATCTCCTCCTCCGAAAAAAATATCACATAGTCCTCTCCCTCCCCCCTCATTCTGAGTGGGGGAAACCAAGCACAAACAAGCCCAAGGAATCTCTCAGGGCATCAAGGAGAGCAGACAGTGGTAGAGTAAGAGACCAAAGGTAGGAAAAAGGCAAGTGGAGCTGGAGCTGGCATGCACACTCAGAACCAAGAAAAGAACAAACCACACAAGAGGACAGCTGTTTTTCTAGAGGGTTTTTCTCAGGAGGGGCCTCTCAGTGTTGCAGCTGCCGCAGGCTGCGCAGAGCCTCAGCACAAGCCCGGATTAGGCTACACAGCTGGATGCTGGTCTCCAGGGAGGTGCTAGGGCCCAGCTCAGCTGAGGCCCAAGTTAGCTTCTGCAGGAGGGCCTCCTGTGTGCAAGCCAGGACATCTGCATTTGGAGGCACAACAGGAGGGGGCGGCCCCTGGGCTGCCTTAAGCCCTGCTGCAGCTCCCTCACAGTGCTCTGGACGGGGTACTGGGGGCTGAGGGGCTGGCCGCGAGCCAGAGGGGAGCTCCGAGGCAGAGGCAAGCTGGTGTTCCCGAGCTTGGGAGAGGGCAGCCTGGGCATTCAAAGCTAAAAGAGGAGAAAGTGGATGGAGTGGTCAGGAAGTCTGTCCCCCATCAGCCCTGGGCCACCTTCTCTTTACTGCTCTGGTCTTCCTATGCTTGAGATGTTTTCCCTTCCCCTGTATAAGGTAACTCATCCGTTGTCTTCTTTGTGTCAGAGTTATTTATGCCCTTGCTTCATCTCTCCCATTAGGACTATGTCCAACTGAGCTCAGACTCTTGATAGTGTCCGGCACACGGGTATTTAGTGCTTCTACTGAATGAATGGTCCTCTCTAGAGCCAAAAAGGGAAAGCGCCTTACCTCCGCCTCACCCACAGACTCCACCGTCACCTCCCAAACCTACTGTTCCTAGGCCTCTATCACCACGCAGCTTCTCCAAGCACATTCGCCCCTCACCCGGATTATCTTTATCCACGTCTGAGTCGAGCTCCTGGCAAGCCACGCAGTAGATTTTCCGCTGTTTATCTTGGAGGAGGATCGTCTAGAAGCAGAAAGGACGCGGGTACGGATGAGACACAGGGTGAGACGCAGGGCGATGGGGTCCAGAGGGGAGAGTTGGAGAAGGGCCGTGCGGCCTGGTCCGCGGCCCCAACCCGGATCCCACGTCCTGAGTCTCTCCTCACCCCGCAGTCCGCGCACGTCTCGCCCAGCATGCGGTAACCACGCAGCAGGTAGTCGCCCATGAGCCGGGAGATGCGATCCTGTCGCTCCCTTCGCGCTTGCAGAACCTTCGTCTCCGCTTCGGTTGGGGGCTCCCAGGAGAAATCGTCGACTTCTGGGGGAAGAGAGGCACAAGAGACAGAGGGGTCTTTCCCGAGCGGGCTACCTCCTGCACCCTTCAACCATAGGCCCCCACAGCCCAGACCCTCACCAGCACCGTTCAGAGCCATGTTGCCGTTGTCGCCACTAGGCTCACCGGACGTGACGTACAAGCAGAGCGCTTTCCGCTAGGCTCCGCCCCCTCTCTTTAGGCCCAGGATGAGGGCGGAAATGGCGCCTCTCAGACGTCAAGTTGCCCGCAGTGGGGCGTGTCTGCTGCTGGAGCTTTTGGCCTGTGGGCGAGCTCCTCCGCGCGAACCCGGTAGACGAACTTTGGGCTCGCTGGGCTGCAGGACGGGAGTCTCCGGCCTAACGCCGCTCGCAGGACCTGAAAGTGGCTGCGCGGGGTCGCCCTTCCTGCCCGCCGCAGATGGGGACCACTTGGTTTGAGAAATTCCCGCTGGCCTCCATCTCCCCTTGGATTTCCCTTTGCGCACAAGTGGGACCCGGGGCAAGCGGGGCAGTGGCGTAATCAACAGCACCCCTGATGATAACAAGTGGCCCCTTGCGCCCCCGTACAGCCTCTTCAGTCGTCAGTGCTTCTCACTTAACCCGCAAGACCGACCAGGCGGGGGGTCGTCCTCCCTTTCTGTACCGTTCAGCCTATTTCAAGACACCCTCACCCCCTTCTGCATGTTCGGAGGCCCAGTCTGCCGATTCCCTTAACCCAAAGGCCTGGGACTGATGCGAAGTCCGCCCCTCACTTTTTTTTTTTTTTTTTTTTTTTTTAATCTAAGTCCTTGAAACGCGGGCCGGCTGATAAGCGCTGTACTGGGCATGTGCAGGTCGGGGTCCAGCGGCCGCGGAGCGCTTCCCGCGGGTTGGTGAAGCTGAATGATCTAGAATAGTTATGGTTATGGCCATTATGCTGTTTTTTAGGTGGGTCTCTGTTAAAATTACTCGTGCTCCCTGAAGACTGGACTCGATTCCACCCCCCCACCTTCTGTGTTCTTTTTCTTTTCTTTTTTTTTTTTTTTTAACGATTTTATTCATTTATTTGACAGAGATCACAAGTAGACAGAGAAACAGGCAGAGACAGAGGAGGAAGCAGGCTCCCTGCCGAGCAGAGAGTCCGATGCCGGGCTCTATCCCAGGACGCTGGGATCATGACCTGAGCCGAAGGCAGAGGCTTTAACCCACTGAGCCACCCAGGCGTCCCTGTGTTCTTTTTCTTTAAGCATCCTCTCCCTTATTAGGTTTGGAGAAGCCAGATGGGGCAGGCAATGGTGCCCTAAAATGTAGCCTGAAGGGCCTTAAGGCGGTTCGCAGGGCAGGGGAGAAGGAGCTAGGATTTAGACACCCCCTTCCCCGTAATCTCATTGGCAACATCCTCCTTTAACTAGACAGCACATGCTTCTGCATTCTTACCTGAAGGTTGAACGCCCTTCTCCTGGCCCCATCTTCCTTCTACATAGATTGCCTGAAACTGCCATTTTCTGACCCTTGCTGCCGCCTGCTTACTTGGAGAGCCCTGTGCCCCTCTTCACTGTCTCCATCTACTGGCAGGCTCTTGGGCAGCAGTGCTCCTGACTCTGGGCCTGACCCTAGGTAAGTTATGCCAAGCTGACTAGAGGACCTCTTGGACTCTAGCCGGCATGTACAGACCCTCCAAGTCCATACTGTCTTCAACTCCCAGCCCCATCCTAAATTTCTCAGTGCACCTTCTGTCACCATCATGGCCAGTATCCACTCAGCCAACAGCTATTCTTCCTGGCACCAACTAGTACCCCGGCACTCCTCCTTCTGTTTAATTCCTGTCATTTACTCCTCATGACAACCTTATCGGGAAGGTACTACTGTTATCCCCACTTTGCAGAACAGGAAACAATTATTTTAAAACATAAATCAGGGGACACTTGGGTGGCACAGTAAGTTAAGCATCTGCCTTCGGCTCAGGTCATGATCCTAGGGTCCTGGGATCGTGTCCTACATTGCCCTTCTTGCTTGGGGAGAGCCTGCTTCTCCCTCTGCCCGCCACTCCTCCTGCTTGTGCTCTCTCTTTCTCCCTCTCTCCAACAAAATAAACAAAATCTTCAAAAATAACTAAGTGAATAAATAAATAAATAAAGCATAAATCAAGGGGTACTTGGGCGGCACAGTCAGTTGAGCATCAGACTTTTGGTTTTGGTCAGGTTGTGACCTTGGGATCGTGGGATCAAACCTCACATGGAGCTCTGCACTCAGTTCCCTCTCCCTCTGCCCCTTCCCATCGTGCTCTCACAACTCTCTCTCTCTCTCTCTCAAATAAATAATAAATAAATCTTTAAAACATAAATCAAGTCAGGGGCACCTGGGTAGCTCAGTGGGTTAAGCCTCTGCTTTGGGCTCAGGTCATGATCTCAGGGTCCTGGGATCGAGCCCTGCATCGGGCTCTCCGCTCAGTGGGGAGCCTGCTTCCCCCACTCTCTCTCTGCCTGCCTCTCTGCCTACTTGTAATCTCTGCCTGTCAAATAAATAAAGTCTTAAAAAAAACATAAATCGGGTCATATCACTCTCTTGCTCAAAACTTTCTGGCATCTCCCAATCACCCTTAGACAAAAATCCAAAGTCCTTACTATGGTCTCCAAGGTCCTACAGATCTGGCTCCTGGCCCCCCTCAACCCTTCCCACCCTCCCTACAATCCCGTCCCACTACTCAAGGGAATTGCCATCATCTTTCTCCCCTCAGAGCCCGTCCATGCCTCAAGTTCTGCAGGAGGATGGACAAGACACAGGGCTGGAATCAGGTTGGCCTGGGTTTGGCCCGGATCCACTGCTTACTGGCTATGTCACCAGGAGTAATTCACTTCACTTCTCTGGACTTCAATTCCTCATCTGTGAAACCAGGTCAGTTAAATACCTACTTGGCAGGGTTGCCATGAGGATTTAGTGAGATGTGAGGAGTGAAGCTGTAGGAGACCATTGATCACCGCGTCTCTCACATGAATGCAGGTGTAGTGAGCGGAGACATTACCTTGGTTCCAGACTGTCTTTTGCTGGATGTTTGTATAGTGGACAGCCTTGGACAGCAGAGAAAACACGCCCCTCTGGAGCAAAGGGCTGGCGTATTACTGCCCCTTATAAAACACCTGGATGCCCCCAGCTCAGAGTCCCTCCAGGCACCCATAGGAGTCCGCCTGCCTTGCTTTGGCAAGACTTGAAGAGAAGGGGAAGGGACCGATATGCTCACATTCATGACACTTGTGTGCTGTGAGTAATAAAGTTCTTTTTAAAAGATTTTATTTATTTATTTATTTATTTATTTGACACACAGAGGGAGATCACAAGTAGGCAGAGAGGCAGGCAGAGAGAGAGGGAGAAGCAGGCTCCCTGCTGAGCAGAGAGCCCGATGTGGGACTTGATCCCAGGACTCTGAGATCATGACCCGAGCTGAAGGCAGAGGCTTAACCTACTGAGCCACCCAGGCGCCCTTAAGTTCTTTAAAAAAAAAAAAAAAAAAAGATTTTATTTATTCATGTAACAGAGAGAGGCACAGCGAGAGAGGGAACACAAGCAAGGGGAGTGGGAGAGGGAGAAGCAGGCTTCCTACTGAGCAGGGAGCCCAAAGCGGGACTCGATCTCAGGGCCCTGGGATCACAACCCAGCCTAAGGCAGACACTTAATGGCTGAGCCACCCAGGCCCCCTGAGTAATAAAGTCCTTCATCTCTTATTCAAAAGTCTCACATCTTCTGCCAGTAGCCACGAAATTGTATCCCCATAACTTGTTTATTTGAAAATAGGGTGAAATGAGAGACCTTACCACAGTTCTTGACTGTTTGGGCAGCGGGGATGAGACACTGACAGAAACACGGTTTTCGGTACAAGGACCTCAGGGGTTTACTAACAAGTTCTGAGGGAAGACCAAGGGAATCAGCAGCACACATGTTGACCAGATTGTATAATCAACCAAGCAATAAGGGGTCTTCAACTTTATTTCCTGTTCATGGTAACAAATTGGGGAGGTAGTTGCCAGCAGAGTACCCGGATGTCGATTCAAGGTCAGCTGCCAGACATCGCCCAGGTGTTACTAACTCTCCTCCGGGTGGAACTGGGGAGTGGAGGGGTCACCCTCAGGTCCGCCCCGTCATAACAACCAATCGATTCTAAGACTCATCTGGGGCATACAGAAGTTTCTGTCCCCTTTCAGACCGCACACACACACTAAACATGAATGGAGGGAAATTTACTACCACTACAGACGAAAACCAGATGAATCATTAGAATTTTGCTGGCTCACTTGGGAGGCGAGGGGGAGGACATGTGCTGCTTGTTAAGGGAGAATAAAAACAGCTGAGCCATCCTACCACTCAGTCCTTCCTACTGTCTGTCATGCCAATCTTATACCCACTCCAAGATGACAGTAAAATGTCTCAGGGTTTTTTTGTTTGTTTGGTTTGTTGGTTTGGTTTTTTCCCTTCCAGTGAGTCCTGGCTGCTTATATAAGGGAGATTTATCCCTCTCAGGGAGACTCTCTTGAGACAGACCAACTCCCATAGAAAACCACAGATGAGTCATTGATTACTCTTCATGTTCTTATCGTCTTAGTTTTGGTTTACAACGCTGCTCAAAGGTGACCCAAAGAAATTTAGGTAAATTCTTGCGATCAGCCCCACTTAGGAAACACTCCTAGCCCTTACATTAAAACCAGGCAAAAACAAATGTTATTATCACAGTCAGACAGAAATAGCTTCTATCAAGGTAGACTCCTTTAAAAGAAAAGTCACAGCTGCGTGACTCAAGCCCAAGTAAGGACAGACATCTACAGAGCACTCCACCCAACACTAGTGGAATGCATATCCTCACGCATACATGGAACATTCTCCAGAATAGAGTCTATGTTAAACCATAAAGCAAGTCTCAGTAAACTTAAAAGGGCTGAAATCATACAGAATATGTTCTCAGACCACAATGCAACGAAATTAGCGATAATAGGAGAAAACTGGGGAAATTCACAAATACGTGGAAATTAAACAATGCATTCTTAAATAACTAATGGGTCATAGAAGAAATCACAGGGGAAATTGGAAGCTTCTTTAAGATTTATTTTAAAAATCTTTAAAAACACAACATACCAGAACTTACAAGTTGCAACCAAAGCAGTGCTTAGAGGGAAATTTATAGTTGCCAAATCTTACATTTATAAAAAGAAAAGACCTAAAATCAGTAACTTAAATATCCACCTTAAGAACATAGAAAAAGAAGGACAAGCTAAACCCAAAGCGAGCAAAAGGAAGGCTGTAATGAAGATTAGAGAAAATCAGCTAACCTACAAGTTCATCGAAAAGATCAACGAAATTGACAACCTTCATCTATACGGACCAACTCAAGCTCAGCTTAGCCAAAGGGTATGAACCTTGCAGGTCCAACTGGAAAGCAAATTGTGTTTGTTACATGATGTGTTTGCTACATCCAGGAGTACCCAAATGTGAGGTAGATAATGTCAGCAATAGTAACCCTACCACCCAATAGAAAGTTTTGGATGGTAACATTTTCAGCTAACTGTGGAAACAAATCAGAGCAGGTCAGTCTAGATCACTTATGTAGATGCCCATACTAAAGGGTCATTCTCTAATGAGACTGACAGAAATCAAGCTGTTGGTTGATCCTGCATTGTCCAGATTGTCT